TCATCTTTTCTACGTCTTACTTGAATAAAGAAAAGGGGATTGTTTAGTATGTAAAGATGCCTATGCCTAAGTAGGCGAAAAACACATTTTTTTGTTATTCGTAGATAAGTTTTTTTTTTTGTTTAAATGCTTATGTACGGTTTTTAGACTCTTTATCTTAGCAGGATTAAAAGCCAGTCATAAAAATAAATAAGTCAATGTAAACAGAGTCGAATGAAATAGTTACTTAAACTACAATTAAGGTTTCTCATTACTGTTTCTCACCCGCGACGTAAGGTTAAGTTAGTAATTAAAATGTAATTTAACGTTAACATCACGTTAAGTTAATTGTTTTATAACGAGCAGCTACGTGATTATAATAATTATGTTAATATAATTAATCGATTTTGAGTTTTGTTGGGTAAAATTTTTTAGGTCAACGACCTCTGTATTTTGACTCTTCATTAACTAACATTGTATACCTTCTGATGTGAAGGAAGTTAAAAAATAATAAAAAATATGGCCTATGTTACTCACTGATAACGTAGCTTTTTAATGGTGATAGAATTTTAGAATTCGGCTCAGTAGTTTTTGAGTTGTTTCAATAGTTACAAAAATACAAATCTTTCCTCTTTATTATATTAGTATAGGTAATTAACTAAGTATTTCTTTGATTGTAATTAGTATGCTCTTTGGAAATGTATTGATACTTTAACTTGGTCGGAAAAAAAGCATTTGTTATGTACAGCAAATATAAATATAACGTTCAGATTTTAGTGTGTGCGAGACACTTGAAGTGAAGCGTGTCGGTAGGGGACCTTTTTATCCTTTTTCAAGTATCGAGCAAGGATCAAAGCTCGATGAAATAAATATTGATAAAAGATATCAGATTTGATATTGGCTCGTAAGCCTTTTGTAAATATTCCCTTCTGTTGTAAACGTACCTATATGTGTATATAGTACTTAGTAAACAAATGCTGACTTGGCACGTTGGAAACTAGACTGCGTTTGTACACTACGTGCCAACTTAAGCGACTGGTAGTATATTCGTATTGTGCCAGACGGTTTGTAATTCAAGTGCTCGTCGACAGCTAGGTGTTGATTGCATTGCGAGCAGCGTTAATGAATCTAGATGTACTCCTAACCTGAGAATTATTATTAATACAAGCATATGATTTCAAAGTCAAATTAACGTCAAAATTCTTGTTACTCAGTAAAGGCACATGTCAATAAAAAATTAACTTGAATTATAAGTAATTTCTTATTAATTAGTTGATTTTTAATCTTTTCGTTAGTTTGGTAAAGCATAGGGAATAGACACAAATAGGAATTATCTTATACACTAGTAAATGATGCCAGCTTTGCGCGCCTAGATTATTGAAATAAAACGCGCAGCGATGAAAGAAATTTTATTCTTAAGAAAAAAAAAACTTGTGTAAACTCAGATGTTTTCTGGCAATTATTACAAAAGTTATGATTTAAAAAAAAGCGATTCGTCAAATCTTCCACTAAGTTGGATTATGGATATTTCGATGCGAAGAAGCAATTTAACTTTTCCTAAAAGATTTATACGAAAACATCTTGAGGTTATAACTTTGGAATTGAACACATACATGTATCTTGTATCCTGGAATATGTGATTCACGAAAGAATTGTGGTTTTCTCTTTTAATTAACGCAGCGTTATAAGATTAGGGAAAATCGGCGCGGGAAAACGGTTATGTTAGATTTCTTACCTCGTTAAGGAGTAAAGTGATTATAACCCTTTAGCTATCGTCTAAATGCATGATAAATAGTAGAATTAAAAAAAATAGCTATTGAATTTAATAAACTAAATTAATAACACTATATTAGCTGCTGCCCGTTCTGTCCGCGCAGAATTAAAAAAAAAAACTTGATTAGTAAGCTTTGAGTTGTTTCATGTTCTACATACATGTCAAACTAGCTTTCGCCCGCGACTGCGTCCGCGTGGAGTTCAAAAAAAAAGCAAAAGTGATGTGTTATTTTAGTCTATCCTCTACGTCTATGCCAAATTTCATCAAAATCCGTTCAGCCGTTTAGGCTACAAACTCTAACAAACATCCATCCATCCATCTATTCATCTAAACTTTTGCATTTATAATGTTAGTAAGATTTCAGCGAGTTCGGTTCATCAAACATCCATCTTTTGCATCTAATCTTTTGCATTTATAATATAAGTTAAAAGTAAGTTGGATGTCTATATTTCGTAATGGATAGCTGGTGTAATTTTTTAAGTATCGTATTCTAGTATTAACTTCTATGATAACAGTCCCTCTCAGTCCCAGTCTCTGTCTCAGACAGTAATAGCATCCAATTATCAATATTATCTTGCGTATCTTGTCTGAATTAATACACATAAATATTTCCTAGCCTACGATTATAAGACGATCATAAATCTTACAAAATTATACAGCATCGGAGTCGGAAATTCAAAGGAATTAATTCAGTGTAACCGCTGGAGTAAATTTGTTAGAGTAACATTGAAAACGCCTAATAATTTATGACGCACGGGGTCTAGTTACAGACTCGCAATGTCTTAGATGTGGTGAACAACAAATTATTAAATACATAATAGTGCGTTTTGTTCCTCAAACACAATAACAATTTCAACTCTTGTTTATACAGAACTAGTTGTTGCTCGCGACTTCGTCCTCGTGAAATTAAAAAATATAGCCTATGTTACTCACAGATAAATTGCCCTTCTAATGGTGAAAGAATTTTAAAATTGGACCAGAAGTTTTTGAGTTATTTCAATATATACAAAATTACAAATCTTTCCTCTCTATAATATTAGTATAGATGTATGTTTCATTATGATGATTATTTACAATATTCCTTCCTCGTGAATCTACATGAGTAAGTAGAAGATGTAATATTTACAAGCACATTTTAATTGGTTACCGAAACAAAAGGCGCCAAGAGTGTAAGGATCACTAGTTTTCATGAAATTCCTTTTGTTTAATAATAATGTATTGCATACAGGTCAGTTAAAAAAATCGATCTGAACATTTAAAAACTTGCTTAAACTTTCGATATTAGTTAAACAAAATAAAAATTGAGATCGCATAGACTCTGCGTTTTCTTTGTATATTTTTAAGACACGGTCGTTTCGACAACTTTGAAAGTAACACTCAAATGTCTAGACATGCCATTAGTTGAACGCTTTAAGTTGTAAAATATGCACAATAAAGTTACAATAAAAATTGTATTTTAATATGATCAATGAGTAATTGTTTTGATGAGTTATTTATTGCTTAATCTAAAAGCTTTAGAGAGATTGTTTAATTTACTAATGCTGGGTTTCTGAAGTTACCATTTATTTTGTTATCTAGCTACTCATTAGTGTTAGATTTACCTGTTTTAATGGAGTAACACTCAACTTACGGAGTTCGGAAACTCATTTCAAGCATTAATCGAAGCAAATACTAACGAATGGTCAATCGTAGCTGGCTGGACATAAATAATAAAATCGAGATGAGAACAAATATAATATATGATTACAAATTTAGTAAAATGTGTTTTTTTTTTCAAATTTCATTTTTAATTTGAATTTAATTTAATTCCCTTTCATTTTGATTAATCTGAATAATTTTAAAGGGTTTAGCCGATGTCGAGGAGGTGGTTACCAAAACTTTTCTACGTAGCAAAGTCGTTTTCTCGAGAAACCTTTTCTACTTTGGTAATTACGAATCGGAATTACACTTTGGTTGGAATTTCGAAAGAAATTCCCTTTTATCTCTTGATCACGATAATTGGCGAGAGACCAGAATTTTAATGAAAATTTATACGAAACGAATTATGTGATCTTTACTTTTACACAAGAAATTAAATATTTTATCATTAGAAAATAGACAAGTTTAAACTGTTTACCTGATGTTAGATGAACTAAAAAATAATATAAATAGAATATCATTTAAACCGAAGTTGTAAGGTTTTTCAAAAGATTTTTTTTGTAACAAGATTAAAAAAGTTTGTTCTTATAGTTTATACGTGACAACAATTGACAATTTCACTAAAATAGGTACGTTTAATTTAAAAGTGTTCCTATTTCAATGTTCAAAACATAGAACGACGTTGAAAGAAATAAGTTCTGCGATGTGTTCGTATCAAAGGAAACTCTTTCTCTGTTGTTTTGCAAATATTGAGTGCTCAAAGGAACATCGAGATACTTTCACTGTACTCTTTTTGAAACACATTGAAATATTCAAAGAATATTTGAACTTGTGAATGTAAACTCTTTGAACCTTCACATGTTTTATCTTGCATCGTATTTAGTTGTATTTTTAATCGGCGTTGAAAACTTCACACGTTTCAAAATCCGATTTGATATTAAGTTTTTTTTACAAAACTTAGCACTTTTTCAAAACTATGATCAGGATATATCAAATGCAAATCAAACTGATATTGAATTTTTTGTGTAAATGTTTGCATCGCGTGCTTCAAGTGACTAACAATAGACCAGTATAACTTGATACCTCAATCAATAGTCAATACGATTTTACGAAATTTGAAAACGATTTCTACACGAATATTTGTAATTATGTTTATGCTCAATTATTAAAAAAAAATAAAGAAAAACAAAACTTCATTATATTTGCACAATGTTTTTGATTCGTTAACTAGCAGAATTTTTACTCTCAAATTGTGTAATTTTTCACATAGATTTCAATCTTAGTAAATATTTAAATGTTAAACATTTCAGTGTCCGTAGAAACAAAAAATACACTTAAAATTTTACATTTCTATTTTCAAAATACTATTCGTTTTTGTATCGTAATTTTTTTTGTCAGTTGTTTTTGAACGTAAAAAGATCAGCTTATGTTGGACACTTAAAAACCAATAAATATCAGTGTATAATTATCAATTTTCTATTGTGAACGATTTAAAACTGTAAATTGAATAGTGTTATTAAAAGTACTCGGCAAATTCCTAAAAACTGCCATATATCAAACGTACTGAAGCTTGTTGAGTTTCTAAAGTAGATTTAAATTACGTAGTAATATGTCCAAAACTGTTAAGAAAGTGAAATTTACAAATGATTTTCAAATACAGCAACCTCCACGTGATGTAAGTTTCATTTTTGTTTAGTATTCGAATCCTTATCTATAATATATCCTTAAATAATTACATTTTGACAGGAATTCTTAACACTAATGCGCCAAATATTCCACTGTGCCCGATGTTTTGGCATCGCAGGCTCCAGTAAGTATTACTGGAAACTATGGGGAGTTGTACTGCTTATTTGTCTAACTGTAGTCGAGATTGGATCTATATGGAAAGTGGTAAAAGCACTCGCAGGATGGGCGGTCAGCACGACGGGACATAGTGAGTCCTAATTTGTATATTAGTGGTTTAAACCAACGTTTTCATCCGCGTGAAATTAAAAAAAGCAATCGTGAATAGCCTATGTGTTCTTACACACTATCATCTACGTCTATGCCAAATTTAATCGATATCCGTTTAGACGTTGAGGCTTCTATAACAAAACATCCATCCATCCATCTATACTTTCGCATTTATAATTTTAGTAAGATGTAGTTTTCTTTAACCACCTTATTAGGCTTAAATGGACTACATTGACCCAGTGGATTGATTAATTTCACACACATCATTTCTAAGCAAGTAATTAAATGATGTTATTATACCGTAAGTGTAACGTACATTTGAAAACACAAGCATGATAAAGAACCCAGGACGTCTACTTAAATAAGTCTAATTTTAAACTCACTGTGTCTAATCACAAATTGCGTAAATATTTGCGTTAACTATTTCAAACAATCGTTTATTTTATCAAGGAAGTGTCACAGCGCGGTTGGCGGGGGCAACACTATACGCTAATGCTGTACTGTCTCTCATATTGACATGGAGAATATCAAGTTCTTGGGGGAAGATAGCTGATTACTGGATAATAATAGAGCGAGCTATAACCACCCGGATACCAAGAGACAAATACTTAGACAAGAAAATGATTGCAGTCGAATTGTTTTTTATTATTTGTGGTTTAGGTAAAAATTAATTTATAAAATGACTAGCTTTTGCCCTTTCTCGATATGACCTACAAGGATTATTTTTTATTTCATAAAAACAGTAAGGGCCTGTCCCACCAAATGGTAACAATGCAACGTGTAAAATATGCGATGGAAATATTGGATTTTGTTACCTTATCTGACAGTGACGTCATTTTTAAGCTATTGAGCCTCTATCAGCTAGTGGTGGGACAGGCCCTTAATATCTTTGTGTTCCTCCAAGCTATGTTTCACGTCTGTGTTAAATTTCATAAAAATCCGTAGTTTGGGATACATAGTAAGAAACATCTTTCCATGAATCAAAACATTCGCTTTTACATTTAACATGGCAGGTTTTAATTCCGATTGTTTATAACATTACGCAAAAGTTAACAAAACTTATAAGAAAAAATAGTTACGTGTCGGAGAAACCTATGATCCTTCTGACATCGGACGAGGGTTAAGTACAATTGGCTAACAATAGGGATAAGCCAAAGTTATCTCATTAACTTGTGTTGATTAAATGATCTATGTTCCAGCTGAACACACAATGAGCGTGTTAGCAGTCATCGGATTGGATTGTCCAGCTTCGCATTTGCTGAAAAGATACATACTGGTCTCTCACGGATTTTTATTACAACCAGGTTTGTATAACTGTTTATTGGCGTAAAATAGAGTTCGAGGATAGACGTAAGAGCATACAGTATAAAAGTAGAACTAAAAACTGATTTAATTGCTTTTTAAAGTTACATGAATTTATTTAAGTTTGTTAAAATTAATTTAAGAAACACTTTTGTAGATGACTATTCAGTTTCGGTTGCGATATCATTAATTATACTAAGTACAGTCGCGACCATTTTGTGGAACTTTCAAGATCTCTTATTGATTCTTATAACGCTCGGATTAGCATCGAGATATCGTAGAATCAATTTTTATGTCGCTAATTATTGTACTAAGAATAAAAAGGAGACAGTTTCAAAGGTATTAAAAAAAATATGATCACTACCAACTAATTTGTACAATTAAAATCATTGTCATATTGTTAATATCTATTCACTTGTTTATGACTAGCTTTCGCCCACGACTCTGTCCGAGTGGAAATTAAAAAATCAAAGTGGATAGTCTATCTGTTCTTTTAGACTGTCGCCTCTTACTAAAATTGTAAATGCGAAGCTTTAGATGGATGGACGTTTGTTAGAGTTTGTAGCCTAAACTACTAAACGGATGTCGATGAAATTTGGCATAGATGTAGAGGATAATATAAAAGAACACATAGGCTGCTTGATTTTGTCTTTTTTTATTTCCACTCGGACAGATTCGCGGGCGAAACCTAGTTTCGAATGTTAGTATGATTTCAGAACACAGATAACGTTGAAATATTCACATGGCGTAAAATAAGAGAGGCGTACGTAAAACAAGCGACTCTCGTAAGGAAAGTGAACGACACAGTCGGAGCTCTCATACTGCTGTCGAACTCTTGTAACTTTTACTTTACATGCTTGCAGTTGTTTTTAGGAATCACGTAAGTGTTCATTTGTTTTAAACCGAAATATTCACATAAGATATTGTATAAAAACTTTCATCTTAGTTTCACAAGGAGACAAAGTGATAATAATTTCCCTATCGCACTGTATACTTCAGAAAGCTAGGTTTTCTGCCACCAAATGAATCTAACCGCAGTCATTTCTATCATTAATCCCTTCTTGACAACATAAGGTGCACATAAATGCGTATTTTATATATTTCGTCAATGTATACTCGCGGTTTAGAAGAGAAAATAAACAAGAAAATGTATTCCGTTTTTCACCTAGTACCAAGGAATATAGATTAATAGGAACGAGGTAACTAGGATAATTGCGAGTAGCAGACGAAGATTTTACATTGACGGCTTAATTCGATTTTATCTAACATTATTACACAATCTGGGGCGGTGAGAGTCGCGCTGTCATTGGGGCTAGTTGAAAAAAAATAGGATTTAGTAAATGATGTTAAACAGTTGAAGGACAATAACGACTTTGTGGCAGTAACATTCACAAGAGAGGCTATGATCTATTGAATTTTAGTTCCATTTTTTCTCAACAGAATAAATAGATGTATCGAACTATTGTTATACTTTTTTTCAGTCAGGGAATGACTGATACTGCTTTAACACAAATGTATTATCTGTCCTCGTTTATTTGGATATGCCTCCGTACAACGATGGTGGTTCTCTCCGCCGCCGATGTTAATGTCAGCTCTAAAGGTGCATTGCCCTATATTTATGAATATCCCACTAAAGACTATAACTTAGAGGTAAGTTAAATAATCTCTAAGTGCGCGTTTTGATTCGTTTGAGTTTATATGTAGGTGAGCACACTACTGGATTTTTAGTTTGCAACTATAGTCAAATTGGCTGCGAAACAAATGACAATAGCACAATAACAGTGCGATAGTTTTGTCAAAGGTGTGCCCCGCTTTTATAATACATCATTTTCCTGATCTTACTCTATCCAATGTGGTAACGACAGGCTTTTGTTCTCCAATACGTTGTTCGTTATTTTAATTGTCCCTTGTTCCTTAATAATGGCACTTCTTTTTTACTTATGGATTACAGATCGAGAGACTTCAGTATCAATTAAGTAAAGACTATGTTGCTTTGAGCGGAATGGGATTCTTTTTTCTGACGAAATCGATACTTTTGCAGGTAACAGTCCGTTTTTGTTACTCTTGCAAATAAGAAATTATTTTAAGATTTATGCCAGCTTCTAAGTAGTTCTCTATCATACTAATACGAGTATTATAAATGCGAAAGTTTAGATGGATGGAAGTTTGTTAGAGTTTGTACCCTAAACAGCTAAACAGATTTTAATGAAATTTTGTATAGATGAGGACGATAGTCTGGAAGAACACATAGGCTACTTACTTTTGTGTTATTTTTAATTCAGCGGACAGAGTCGCGGAAGGAAAGATCCATGAAATTAGCTAACGTTAAAAAATAAAAAAACAACCCAACAGAAATTAAAGACTACACTATTCTCTTTGTAGCATTTATTTGGCCGTAATCAATTTGCAGATAAATTGGATGTTTACTGGAAATTAAATGTTTCAGATGGCGGGCGCAGTGGTGACATACGAGTTGGTTCTCATACAGTTTGACGACACCGATCTCAACTCTACAGATCCGATAAATGCTACAATGATATAATTGGATTAAGTTAATAAAATCGATATAAAGTCAAATCCTTTATTGAAATAAAAAAAGCTATAAAAGTTCAGTAAGCAAAACACAAGTTGTGACTTCACACGTATGATTGATTTATTTCACAGAATGTTCGAGACTTGTTTTTTTTTTTTTATAAAGCGAAGTTTATTTTGCGAAACTACTAATTTAAACATTTGGATTATTCAAATGTGTAAATTATAACAAAAACCTATTAGTAATGTGTCTTAAGGTTGAAATTATTGTGATGTAATAATCCTTAGAAATTAAAACACAACACACTTTAAACAATTAATTGGCAACGCATCTGCAATTGCGGATGTCTATGGGCAGCGATCGCTTCGCCATTTTGGCGGATTCAGGTGGCCGCTTGCTCGTTTGCCACCTTATGTTATAAAAAAAAATTAAATACAAGTTCTCAGTATTTGCATGCACGTTGATAGCTTGTACAAAAATCATGGAGTTTTAAATGCACCTTCGCGTGTTTGAAAAATTGACATTTGATTAATTTTGATTATCTGTAGCCATTTTAAAATTGGTCGTGAAAAATGAGACATCTCAAGTTATAGATAAGGATTTATCAATTTGTTTTGTATCTGCGATGATAAATTAATATAATTAGAGCCGTTACACACATACAGTTTTAACAGCACACTTTTAATTATAACTGTCGAACCGAGGTTAAAACTGACGTGTGTAGCCATAACTAAGAACTTTACAGAATAACTATCAATTATTTTTTTTGCCTACGCATGTTACTTTTAAATGTACGGTTTAACTGTTTGAACTGAACTGTGTGGCTTTATAAATAATTATTTTAACGTCGAAATATAGAAGTTTATGATAATTAAATTACATCATACATTGAAAATAGGCATCTGATTATTGAAGAATTAATTGTATTACTTACGGCCGTAATATGTTTATTCCTTTATTATAAAAAATAATTAAGTACGTATAAACACATTAAAATTTCTAGTTATTCGTAAAATCGCTTAACTTAATTAGAAGTCTCAAACTAAATTTTCAAGTTAATTAAAACTTTGGCTATTAAAATTGTGACATTTTAAAGTGACATTCTTCCTCTACGTTAATTAAGCGATCACTTTGAACTGTCGATTGAAGTATCGCTAAAGATCATTAAATTACTCTCCTGTGATTCAAAACTTTCCCTCTCTTAATTGAATCTTTGTTCGTCTGTTATTGGACATTGTCGTGTTTCATTGTATTGTTGATTTCAACAAAGTTTATAACGAATATATTATATTTCTTATATTAAATAAACACACACTATTTCGTGGCGTAGAATGACATCATTCACAGCATATTTTTGAATAATTCTTTAATACAAAGCAACCCACTCAGAACCCGCTTTAGACTATAATATCTTTACGCTAATGTTGACATTTGCAATTGAGAATTTGACAGATGTGAACAATAAAGTTTTTATAATTTCATGCGGATGAAGCTGCACGGAAACAGCTAGTGACTAATAAATCCTGTTAGATCTCAAATCTCGTAGTGCAAGCAAAAATGTTTTGTAAAAATCTAGAATCGGACTAAAATATTAAAATATTTTTTTATCTTACCAACAATTAGTTTATAAATTATCTATTATCAATTTATTAGTAATGCCTGAATAATTTTCATGTATATATTTAGTAAATTATTCTAATATTTTATAAAAATATTTAAAGAGAGTCAACAAACTTTAATATAACCAAACGCAATATATAAATTGCATATTTTATTGCAACATTAAAATCTTGCTTAGTAAGGGATCAGATGGCTTTATCGTTCACAGATGCGACACGTTTTATTGTATTACATTTATTAAGTTAATTTCATATTAATAATGTTTAGATGCAAAACAACGTAGTATATATAATTTAAAATCTCATAATTGACCTATTCATGTTATAGTTAGTCAAGGAGTTTTTTTATAATAATTCTGTCAAAATTAATCTACAACTTTGGCAACATTTCTAGCGTACTTTGATAAAAAAAAATCTTTTGTATGAGAGTAATTTTGCGAGACAAAGAATAGAATTTTTGTAGCCCGCCATAAATGCTGAGTGAGTTGTGCGCTGTCAAGGGGAATAATTACCAAAACTGCACCGCTTGTTACATGTTAAAACGAGCTGGCATATGAGGTAAATTTATTTTATGCACACTATACTTTTATGAACTTTACTCGTGATTATAATATAGCTTTACAATTAATTACTTGTTAAAAATATCTTTTAAACTATACTAATATAATAAAGTGTAAACACACACTACTTCGTGTCGTAGGTTGTCAGCAATAACAGCATATTTGTGACGACACGCTTTATGCTGTATGTTTTCACACTATTAACGTAGGGGGCAGATAAATTGAAAATAAACCTTAAAAGGAAAGGGAACATAATTTATATGGTGCCTACATCAAAAAGCAAGATTTCCACCGTAATTACCGTAGAAACAGTAATTGGTAGCCAATGTAAAAGGCGTTCGTTGCCATTTGTGCATATAAATTTTGACATTTGCAATTGAGAATTTGACAAATGTAAACAATAAAATAAAGTTTTTTATAATTGCGGATGAAGCCGCACTGGAACAGGTAGTAAGAGATGAAATTAGAAAGGAAATTAAATTGTAGTTTGAATTTGAAAATTAGTTTAATCAAATGTGAGTTTGTGCCTTAAAGGCTAACGAAAAATCTATAGACTTTAAATTACTATGACTTTTTTGAGTGTTAACATTTAATACCGTAATTAAAGTATTACCTTTTTTTTATAACATAAGGTGGCAAACGAGAAAGCGGCCACCTGAATCCGCCAAAATGGCGAAGCGACCGCTGCCCATAGACATCCGCAATTGCAGATGCGTTGCCTACCCTTATACGACGGAGGAGGAGACGCACATAAAGAGGACATTTCCCCTTCCTATGCATCTCCTCCGCCGTCAAATCCACTTCCCCTTCCCACCCTTTCCTTATAAGAAAAGGATTGTAAAGAGAAAGGGACTTAAACTAGGCCTCCGGTACCACACTCATCAGACGAAACACGGAATTGCTTCCTTTTCACGCCTGACTTCTGTGTGGTCGTGGTGTTACACCGGGCGTGCCGGCCCATTCGTGCTAAGATGTAAAAGCGGGCGCTACCACCTTTCGAATTGATACAACTTACGTAAAGTAAGACAGCATTTGGATAACGCCCAATTGTCCCAGTCCGTAGCTATTACAGTTCATGCCAATTCGAGAAGTTTTTCGTTTTAAAACTGTAACAAGCAATTCGTTTAAAAAATATCATATCGCGTTTAAAATCTACATTTATACTATAGTTCTAAGTATAGCGTACGATAGGTAATTTTACAAATCTCGTCAATTTATCAATAAAAATCCTTTATTTCTGAGGAAATTAACAAGTTGTTCTATAAATCACTTATCTAGAAAACTCTATCGGTCATATTTATTGTACTATGTGTATTTATTTAACTTACTTAACGCCAAAGACGTAATGAGTGAGGCAAATAACTTTTTACAGTGTCACATTTATTTATAATGATAAATAAAATAATATAGCCTTTATTTAAGTTTTGCATTAAGGTTACAATAAAGTAAATAAAATAAAAGTTTACTAGACTACGGTTTTAAATTTAAAATAGAAATAAAGCTAATAAATTACAAGTTACAAGTTACTATTCTAATATTCTCTTTTTGCTCAATTTTTTCAGAGCTATTTGTCATTCGGCAAAGACTTCCAACCTTTTCATAGAAAAGATCATATGTATTTGATAAATATAAAATAACATTGCCGGAAAAAAATTTCCTCATTAGCCATATAAAGAGTGCAAAACTCACATTTTCAAAATATAATTAACTTCCATGATAACCCTTTTGTATTGTTTTAAGTGATGACACGTTTTTACTCTTAAAAGGGTCATATTATCACGTATCATACTTTGTTACATCGCCATTAAATTGGAAGCGTTACAGACTAACAGATAAGAGTACGATGTGACCAGAACATGTGATGTAATTTTCTGCTTTTAACTTCTTTCATCTGGAACAGAGGGCAACGGAAGTTTTGTTAGGTTAACAATCAAAAATACTGAAATAAATTCTATAACTATACTTTTTTGCAATCGGGGGTAAGTAACTAACTGCTTTTAATTATTACATTAAAACTAGCTGTTGCCCGCCACTTCGTCCACTCAATCTATCCTAATATTATAAAGGGGAAAGATTTGTATTTTTGTATGTTTTGAAATAACTCAAAAACTACTGTGGCGATTTTAAAAATTCTTTCACCGTTAGATAGGTAATTAATCTGCGAGTAACATAGGCTACATTTTTTTTATTAATTTTTAAGCTCACGCGGGCGAAGTCGCGGTAAACAGATAGTACTAAGATAAAGAAGTAGCCTAACATCACCGTGTATGTCAGCTACCCTTCAGTGGCAGTCCGGTCGAAATCGGCCCAGCCGTTTCGAAGATTACCCAAATCAAACGCGGCTTGCGGACAGACAGACAAAAAAGTTTTAAATGCGATTTTTGTTATGAGCAACGCAAACACCACCTTCGCGAAATCTGGAATTTTTCTTTAAATGTAACAAACGCACGCTCTAATTTTATTATATGTATAAAAATTTAAGTTGTAAAACATTTTGTAAGGTCTCAATAAATAAATTATAAAACCAAACCTATTTTTAAGTAAAGCTAGGTAAAATAGAGGTTCGATATTCCAATGGTTATGTAATATTTTGGTTATATTCTTAATTACGACAATGATTTATCAACAAAGCGAACGATCATTAATTTGTTTGTTAAGCCAATTAATAATTTGAAGTCGTTAAAACTTTATCGTCCGAAAATAATTTCTCCCAATCTGATATTTATGTCGCAAAACTGTAATTAACGTTTATTTTAATACTTACTTTTATCACATTTATTGTACAATTTATAAATGGCCTTATCCCATCCACGTGGACATACAAGGTTTT